GGCAACATTCTTGTGGATGGTACTCCATTCTGACATATGAGATTCCTCGAAACAGTGTCCCCGTGGCGAAGTTGTTCGTGGTATACCTCCTCTGAGTCGGCGCTATATACGATCCGTTGCACGTTTTTCCTGTTTGATCGCCCACATAAGTTCCTCCACTTGGCGTGTCTCAGCACATTATCGAATTTAGTAGTCTTTTTTCACCTGGCTTGTTCAGCTGAAGTATAGTTTTTGCACATTCGGTGACTGTGAAAGCAATGGATCCCTTCGCGATATTTTGGACACCTGCGCGACTCTTAGTTAACGACCTCCAGCAGTTCTCCTTCTAAGAGTAGTCCAGGGACTCCTCTCTATTGACTGAACGTGAGTACCACTTATTAACTGATGTCCACAGCCGACCTTTTTCCTTAGAACAACATTTTTTCCTTCCACAGAAGTCCTCATAAGTTCGGATCATGTTTTCATTGCAAGCAGGAACGGAGGTTTCATCCGCAATTTCAGAAGTTGCGCGACAGGGCACATCATTGGTTGGGGATTATGGGCGAGTCCATACCGCCCTCCTCCCTAAAGGGTGGATCGGTACGACCCCCCTCCTTCTGAGGTTTGTTGTTTTTTCGCCTTTTATTTGCATTTTCTTTCAACATACGCGGGAGAAAACCAAGGCCAAATTAAAAATTCTGCCTGGCTTCTCAGCCCCTTCCAGCATTGAGCGTCACCCAGCCGAAGAATATCTTACGAGTGACCTCCTAACATTCCGCACGTTCACAAGACAGGATCCCAGCGAAGGTGCTTCCTTTATTTACAGGAATTTAGTTTAGATGATCTCCGTGATCTAATGCATGTGTTACTTCAGCTAACATGAAAAAGTTAAACTCCTGGTAGAGAGAATGGCTTGAAGGAAATTGACGGATGAAGGATGTCTTTACCCACCTTATACTCCAGCTGGATGACTGACATAAAATTATACGCTTACAGTTTTTTAGAATTTTAATTCCAAGGTTGAAATATGCTAACTTCACTTCCCTCTTCTCAATCGCCGTTTAACTCCCGGCAGCGGTGTTATGATAGTGCGGGGAACATCACATCTCACCATATCGCCTCCATTTTGATTTCCAAGCTTTTCCTACTTTGAACGTTTCTTTATGAGCGACCAGTAGTCCTAGGTGCGCACGAGCATGTTGCGATTTCATGGAAGAACGAGATAGCCCCTGAAGGCAGCCCTCGCTATCCGGCGCCATGCTGTAGAAGAGAGACAATGGATTGACAGTAGCGTAGATAGATAGAGTAGATAGATAGTTCCGGCTATTTCAGAGTGAAGCGTAGAGCTCAGAGAACGACTATATTCCGTGTAAACACTTGGCGGAAGAGAGCAACTTTCCAAACAGAGCTGAAACTGGTGTTACCAATCAAATATGGCAAAAAAGATGATCGTCACTGAGGCCACTGCCATTATGGATGGGGAACGAGAGCTGGCTGGAGTCACCCAAACGGCCTTCGGCGACAACGTTCGCCGCACGCGGACGCAAGATCACAGGGCCACACAAAGGGAATCCCAGCGAAGGTTTGGACTGTCGTCTCGGAACGAAGAGGGAGGTCGGTACTTTGTCTTGCTTACATTGAGATAAAGCCTTACGTTTTGTAAGTTATCTTAGATTCTCCCGTGCTTGCCAATACCCCTCGTCGTACCCATCCCTAACAAACTCAACCAGATTACTCATATTAACAGTTTTTTGGCATAAGCTGGAGAGCTTATGAAAAAAACGCCGGAAAAGTGATAGGAAACTGGCAAATCTAGCTATATGGTCGGTGGGAAATGCAGGGGAACAGAGGGGTGTCAACCCTGAGGGAGGGTTCCAACAAGGATGGTCGTGTTGCACGAATTCCCGAAGGCGGGACATGTTTTGACAGGGATGGTTCAGTAGAGCCCAGAAGAACTGGGAAGGTGTGCCTTAGTGGTTTCGAATTTCTCTCATGTCGTATGTGGACCTGACACTGCCTCATCTGAATATCGCTAGTTCCCAACAACAGAACAGCACTCATCATTGTGTTATGGTACGCAATTTCTTCGAATTGCCACATCCAGCAACTTAGCAGCGAAATCCTTAACGGAGGATATGGCAGTCCAATGATTGCAGTTACGTTTATGATGAAATACTATCCGCCGGAATTACTTTACTAATTAACTCTAAAAAGCCCTTTTGTTGCGATCAGTTACATTTGCATTTACACTATGTTACCCGAATGTGTAAATACGGTATCATAAGTCTATCCTTTGCTTCTGTTGTCACACATAGGAAGTTGCACAAATTTATTGATACCAGAGGACACATCACTTTCTGGGTTTGGGCTCTTCGATACCGCACCATTTAGCATAATTTGTTATACTTTGTTTCATCATGCGTGGGAAACCCAGCGATACCATTGAAGTTTGAAATACCGATAGATATCCTCCGTTCATTCTCCTGAAACACTCGTGATTTTTCATATACAGCAGGTACTTTGACATAGCAGAGGCTGGCATGTAAATTGGGGCGAATTTAGATGTCGTGCTATTCAGAAAATCAGTGCTACGAAATTTCCTGGTAGAAACTATATACCTCAACCATTGGAATATAAATGACTACATGTGCCTTCATTCCGCCTTCTGATGTCTTTCTATTGCTCACGATCTTATCAAAGGAGTAGACCACAGCTGTCCAGGCTGGAAAAAAAGCAAAGCATATTATCAGATATAATTGGTCATTATGATCAAGCAGAAACAGCGCGCCAATTCAAATTGGGATTTTATAGATTAACTTACCAGGGAGTATTGACTTCGAGGGATGAGCATATCTGAGTTGCATATCTCTGGCTGGGATTAATTGAGCAAGTGTCATCTCTCGGACAACGTAGTACTTTTTTCACAGTGCTTTCTGATTCTTCGATTTCGGAGTGCGAAGCGCAGAACAATGCTGAGATGAGTACACCAATCGTCACCGTCCACATGATCTAAATATGAATGTGAGCTATGTGAAGAACAGAAAATAACTACAAAGAATGTGAAGCGACTGAGGAACCCTCAAATGACCAACCTTAATCACATCATCGCTGCTGCGTAATGAACTTTTTGAAAGAATCTGCACACTGATAAGCAAACAGGCTTTATGCACTTGGTGACAAACTGCAGAACCTCTGCTAGAGCGGCACCAATTGAACAGCCATGTTTATTCGGTTCTACTATGGCAGGAGATATTCATCAACTGATTAGTTGAATATGATACAGTAATCTAATGCGCGGTTTCCGGGCAATGTTGCTGACAAGCTTCTATTCTTTTTTGCTTATAACTATAAGAGCGCGACACTTTCTGCGTCTAGGGACCTGCACCACCACTACAGGTGAAGGGATAGAACACACGCACTTGTTGAGTCATGCTTTCTTTCTACTTAGCACTAGTGACTTTGCGCCATGACTACACTGGATGTTATGAATGACGTTTGAGGGAAAATATTTGCCACAACAGAAAGAATGTAGCAATGGGGGCGCTCTCTTTGTCATGGCGGTTTGTTTGAATGCGATACAGCCATTGTACAATGAAGTTGTTCGGCGAACTACGCGCATGCCCAAGTCAGTGATTTCCCTTCAACAAATTGTTTACGTAGCAAGCTCTTGCCTTCGCGCTCACCGAGCTTATACATATGGCTTCAGTTATCTCTTCAGGTGTCATTCTCCATTGATGACCATGATGACCATGGTTACGTGTGTTCTCACATTGAGGGAACTGCGGGTCGTGAGAGTGCTGCATGGAGAAGCTGCTTTCTCCATCAATCAGTACGCAACGCAGCTAGAGATTTGAAGCGAATCGTCGATCAGAAGAGAACAAATTCATACCGCACAGCCAGTTCTCAACTGATGGTTGCAGCGCACATCGTTTAAAATTTCGATAGAACCTGCATGTCAATGAGTGGATGGCTCACCCCTTTGCATTGCGCCTAGCCAAGACATTTTGCCTCCTTCTAACTGCGAACTGCCTCCCGTACCTAATCGTTATGTGGACGAGAAACCTCCATAACCCGAGTTCAAGTGAAGATTGAGATGATGTCAAAAACTGACAGATCTTTCCCACCAACCTAATACTTTACCGCAAGGGAGGTGGGAGAGGGGGGGGGGCGTAAGTGCAATGCTCATCAAGAAGGAATGTTTGAGGAATGTTCAGGGTCACTGAATGGTAGAAGATTTATATATGGTTATCAACGGAGAATGACACCTGAAGAGATAACGAAGCCATATGTAAGTTACAAGCTCAGAAAAGGGGAATCCGCTGTGTCAAGAAGTGTGGTGCGCACCCACAGCGTTGCGAATCAAGAAGCAAACAAGCGCTCAGGTTCTTCTGAATAGCAGAAACGCTCGTACGGGAAAGCCTCAACTTGGACTAACTTTTTTCCAACGCCTTTGCTTGGAAGCATAGCGTAATACGGAGGTGACGCCAGTCCACGCCGAGTGAATTATTCCCCCTCGGGAGTGGAAGGCAAGAGCTGCAACGGCAATAAACTTGCCTGAAAGGGAAAATCACTGACTTTGTGCATCGGCTAGTCGCCGCAAATCATTGTACAGGCTGTATCGTATTCAAAAACCGCCAGACCAAGGGAGAGCGCCCACATTGCTACATTCTTTTCTGTTGGGTGTCAAATATATTTTCCCCAACGTCATTCATAACATCCAGTGTAGTCATGGCGCAAAGTCACTAGTGCTAAGTAGAAAGAAAGCATGACTCAACAAGTGCGTGTGTTCTATCCCTTCACCTTAGTGTGGCAGTCCAGACGCAAAAAAGGTCCGCTCTTAGAAGCAAAAAGAAAAAAGGCTTGCTCGCAACATTGCCCAGAAACCGCCTATGAGATTACTGTATCGTATTCAACTAATCAGTTGATGAATATCTCCTGCCACAGTAGAACCGAATAAACATGGCTGTTCAATTGGTGTCGCTCTAGCAGAGGTCTGCAGTATGTCACCAAGTGCTACTGTTTGCTTAAGTATGGCAATTTCTTCAAAAAGTCATTACGCAGCAGTGATGTTGCGTATTTAAAGGCTTGGCATTCTGATGGTTCCTCAGTCGCTTCACATTCATTGCAGTTATTTTCTGTTCTTCACATTTTAGCTCACATTCATATTTAGATTATGTGGACGGTGACGATTGGTGTACTCATCTCAGCATTGTTCTGCGCTTCGCACTCCGAATGCGAAAAAAGTACTCGTGTCAAAATGACACTTGCTCAATTAATCCCAGACCAGAAATATGCAATCCAGAATGCTCTCCCCGAAATCAAACTCCCTGTAAGTTACTATAAAATCCCATTGAATGGCGCTGTTTCTCTGACTCATAATACCAAGAATCTGATAAATGCTTGCGTTTCCAGCCTGACAATGCTGTGGTCTACTCCTTTGATAAGATCGTGAGCAATAGAAAGACATCAGAAGGCGGAATGAAGGCACATGTAGTCATTTATATTCCAATGGTTGAGGTATATAGTTTCTACCAGGAAATTTCTCGTACACTGATGTTCTGAGTAGACGAATCTAAAATTCGCACCAATTTACAGCCAGCTCTGCATGCCCATACCTGCTGTAATGATAAAGTCACGAGTGTTTCAGGACAAGGATATCTACGGTTATTTCAATTTCAATGGTAATGCTTGGGGTTTCCACCCTATCGATGAAACAAAGTACAACAATTATGCTAAATGGTGCGGTATTGAAGACCCCAAACCCAGAAAGTGATGTGTCCTCTGGTATCAATAAATTTGTGCAACTTCCATGTGTGACAACAGAAGCAAAGGATAGACTTATGATACCGTATTTACACATTCGGGTAACATAGTGTAAATGCAAATGTAACTGATCGCAACAAAAGGGCTTTTTAGAGTAATTCGATCCGGCGGATAGTATTCATCATAAACGTAACTGCAATCATTGACTGCCATATCCTCCGTTAAGGATTTCGCTGCTGAAGAAGGCTGTGGCAATTCGAAGAAATTGCGTACTCACATACACAATGAGTGCTGTTCTGTTGTTGGGAACTAGCGATATTCAGATGAGGCAGTGTCAGGTCCACATACGACATGAGAGAAATTCGAAACCACTAAGGCACACCTTCCCAGTTCTTCTGGGCTCTACTGAACCATCCCTGTCAAGGCATGTCCCGTCTTCGGGGAGAATTCGTGCAACACGACCATCCTTGTGGAACCCTCCCTCAGGGTTGACACCCCTCTGTTCCCCTGCATTTCCCACCGACCATATAGCTAGATTTGCCAGTTTCCTATCACTTTTCCGGCGTTTTTTTCAGAGCTCTCCAGCTTATGCCAAAAAAAACTGTTAATGAGTAATCTGGTGTGGCAGTTGATAGGGATGGACGACGGAGGGTATATGGCACACGGGAGAATCTAAGAAAATTCAACAACCGTAAGGCTTTATCTCAATGTCGCAAAGACAAAGACGATCCTCCTCTTCTCCGGAGACCAGCCAAACCCTTCGCTGGGATTCCCCCTTTGTGTGCCGTGATCTTGCGTCGTGCGGCCGAACGTTGTCGCGAAGGCCGTTTTGGTGACTCCACCAGCTCTCCGTTTTTCCCTCCATAGCACTGGCCTCAGTGACGATCATCTTTTTTGCCATATTTGATTGGTAACACCAGTTTCAGCTCTGTTTGGAAAGTTGCTCTCTACCGCCAAGTGTTTACACGGAATATAGTCGTTCTCTGAGCTCTACGCT